AAGTGAGGGAAGTATCTTGATGAAGTGCCAATAGATTTGCTGAAGTGGCTTGTTATGGAAGGCATATTTGATTGCTTTCCTAAGTCAGAGAAAGTACTAAACAAGCGTCCTGAAAGCTTTGTGGAGCATATATTTAAGTGTGGAGGAGTATTAAGTTCAGCACAAAATTATCCAAGTGAAATGGTGTTGCAGAATATGAAACTTTGGCATAGGTAACTGAAAGCATCTGTATTAATGAGTCCTGATTACTGAAATTTAGAGATGATGGACACTTTCCTGGTAGGAAAGAGAGGTCCTAATTAAATGCCTGCTGTGTGGATTTTCTTGGAGATTTAGAGAAGAGGGGAGAGCTACTGAAACAGTCTTTGTAGAAGTGGCAAAGGCATATGCTCATATAATGCGAATGAGCAAGTTGGGTTCCAAGTTGATTTTCCATGAGGTATGTCTGTCAAAAAAGAAAAAAAAAATGATGTTCAAAGTGAGAATAAACAGGAGAACTACCCGCACAAAACGCTCTTACGCAGTGAGATGTGCTCGTGCTATCGGCTGTGTCTAAGCAATGTCAAGACAGGCTTATGTAGACTTGAGTTAGACTGATTGCTGGAAGGGTAGAAGTCTTGATATCTGGTGAAAGAAAGCCTTCATCAATGAGAGCAAAGGAAGAAAACTGAAATGAAGGACTTTAATGCCTCTGACTGCCTCTAGCATTGCACCTTAGTGTCATTAAGTACAGCTGTAATTCATTTGATTCTTTTATTTGTGTCTTGGCTAGTCTCAGCTTGGGAAATCAGTATGCTCCAGTTTCTGGAAATGCTGATGTTCAGCTGATTGATTGAATGGTTGGCTGCACTGTGAAAAGAAGGAAGGAGGAGGGAATTTTAGCTCAGATATTGTTAAAAAATATTGATATGGCATAAATATGTATTAATAATAATCCCTGCTCATCCAGCTCAAGCGTGCAGAAGCAGAGTGCCACTCACCATGTGTTTCTGTCTTGGTTTTGTTTTACAGAAAACCCTTAGAAGACAAAAGCCTTTCTAACAGTTTCTGCTTCAAGCAGTTAATCCTGTGACTAGCTCCTGCCAACTAACAGTTCTCTAGTAAATTATTAATTGTTTTGGGCCCCTCAATTATTTTCTCAACCTTACAGTTGCCACCAAAAGCCTTGTATTGTGCTCACATTGTTTTTCTAGAGGAAGAAACAATTCTTTAATGTGCAAATAGGAGAGGACGAATTTAGTCATCATGAACAGATAAGCAGGAAGAATGTTACTATATGAAATATAAATTATTCTCATGTTTCATAGTAACAAAAATGGAAGCTAAATTAGTGAGTGGGGAAGTAAGCAGAATCTGAACCCCAATTTTGGTAAATGATGCAGCCTTATCTACTACTACTTTCTTGGGTTTTTTTTTTCTTTTGAAGGCAGAATGCCTGTTCAACCTAGCCAAGGTGGATAAAACAACCTGTCCTCATAGAAACATTTGCAGAAATTCATTGGAAAATATGAAAAAAAATAAAAGGTCCACCCTTAAGTCTTAGTATCAGAAAATACTATTGACTTCAATTGCACGGTTGCATAATATGTAAGAAGAAAAGCTGTGCAGTTTGGCATGGCATCTTGAAACACAGTGTTCTTCATGATTTGAAGAGTAGACTCAGGCAAGGAAGATTTGTAGTGAGAATAGTTCACCTTGAGTGAAAAGCAATAATGTTTTACTGAGTATTATAAAAATTGTCTTGGACAAGACACTGTGCATGTGCTTTCTAGAAAGAACAGATATCTATACTGAAAGCTTGACTTAAAATAAATGTTTGTCCTAACTCATAACCTATTCATCCAGCCTACATCACACCTGGGAAGTCCCAAACAAGAAATGCTGTCACAACAACACAAAATGTTCACAAAAGGTGAATTCTTGAACCAAGCTTTTCCTGTCATAAAGTGTCTTAGGCACACTTAAAGTAAATTCCATTTTAGGCTCTCATTTCTACTTTTGTAAGGAGGATTTAAACAGCTTTGCAAAGAGAAGAGCACCAATGTCTACTGAGATTTATGAACTGATCACACATACCTGATGCTTCTTGAAAGCAATAAAATAACAGTTATGCCATATTTGGTTATTACTGTATGGCATAAATATCTTCAATGAATTGATAGAAATGTCACAGACATATTCTCGTTTCAGAAAAATCAATATAGTCTGTATCTTACTCTTTAGTTCCAATATTGTTAAATCAAATAAGTAAATAATGCAAATAAATTATAAAAGGCACCTGTATATCTTCTCTTATCCTTTCAGAAGACTATAAAAACAGCATAAAGAGTATAAGGATTAGTGCAAGAAGAAAAACAGTATATGAGCTTGTCTGCCTGCACTGATGTCCGTTCTAAAGCACATGTTCAAATTAGCCCGTTTCATCAGGGTCTAGGTGCAGGTGTGTTGCGTGGCAAAGGTGTGTTGTAGGCAAAGCTCCTGTTGTGCTTTCAGAAAGCTGAGGTCAAGAACCAACACTCGGCTTAACGGATCCGCTGTCGGATGGCACACGATGCTGTCGCCTTCTGGCCACCGCCTCCCCTGCCCCAGGCCTGCCCAGCCTGGAGAGCCCCTGCGCTGCCCACACGGGGCCCGTCCGGCCCCGGCAAGGCGACGTCCTCTCCCTTACACAGCTGCCATTGATCAGGATTTCTGCTGTGGCAAGTCGGACACCTACTGTGTGCCTTCCCCACACGTACCTGTTTGCTGAAGCTTCAAAAAACGCTGTTGGCCGTAAAGATGTTGGCCCTAGTGTGGGCCCCAAGGCTGGTGGCCTTGTGCCCATGTCGGTGTAGGTGCAATCCCTGTCAAGTCTTTCTGGGGCCCTTCATGACTTCTGGATATGCTATTGGAGACACATGCGTCAGACAAATGCATAAAATAATTTAATTCAATAATTTTCGGTCCCATTAGTGCAGTGGGTCAGGCCATAGCTGTGACTGAGGTTGTTCTGGTTCATCAGACTGTTTTTATTCTTAAAAGCACGGTGAATACCACAAATAAACTTCATATTTAAGCTGTGGCGTGACTGAAGTAAGATGAATGACAGCCATCATTTTGCTACTTTAGGAAAAAATCTATCTCTGCCATCAGTTGTCACCTTTTTGACCTTAAATTTGCTGATTTGAGATCATTAATTAACTACATACTGTATACCCAGCCACCATGATGGATCTGGGATTTAGTAGTCTATTAGTTTACATAATTTGCACTGGCATCGCTGTGTCATTAAGTCACATCTCCTAACCTGTACACATCAACCATATTTTAGAAAGCCTAAACAACCGGAAGCTTTTCCAATTACATATTTACATATTTTTTTTTTCTTTTACTAAGGTCAGAAGGTTTTTCTTTTAAGGTTTTCCCTTTTACTAAAGTCAAAACACGTTCCACAAATGGTTAGATCAAGCACGTCGTTGCCCTCTACCTGGATGGCTGCTGCTCACCTTCTCACTGCTGCTCTCTTCAAGCACTGAAAATAAAACTACAGCGAGCAGAAAACTGTAAACCGCGGCAGGTGGGGAGAATTTGCTTTTTGTCGTCTTCTGCAGGTTTTAGCTCTCAGAACGTTACGCCTTCCTGTGAGAAGGGCCTCGGTGCTGTCGTCTTTTGAGGAGCTGGCACCCGTGCTCTTGACTGTATTCACTTTGGGCTCGATCCGTGGCTCAGGAAGGTTAAAGAAGGTTTCCAAAGACTTTGGGGGCTTCAGCCTGAGCTCGAGGCCTACCTTTTGGGAGAGGCTGGCGAGTGGTTTCTCCGGGGGAAGCCTCAGCAGTGCCCATGGAGGAAGGGCACCGAGCGGCTACCCGGAGCCTCGCCGGACTCGCCCCGCGCCCCGTGGGGACCCGTCTCCTCTCCCCACGCCGCAGCGCAGCAAACGGGGCCCCTCGCTGGCTGCCCCACGGGAACAGGGCCCGGGAGCCGGGAGAGCCTTTCCCGGGTATTCCTCACAGCGCGTTCCCGTGCAACGGCCCCAGCCCGGGGGCTCCTCTGTTTCTCCACACGTATAGACAAACGATTCCTGCTGCGGCGTTAGCAGCCATCACCATGGAGAGCTGCGAGCGCTGTTTTCCCAAACACCTTTCCCCTTTGCTCATAAACTCGGGGGAAGGTGTGGGCGAGGGGAGCAGGGCGGGCTGGCAGCCGGCCATGCAGCTGCAGACATTAAAATAAACACGGTGCGGGGGGCTCTTGGGCCTGCGAAGCTCCGAACCAACTTACGGGGTCAGCTCTCTGCGTTTAAACAATTGCACTATGACCAGCAAGTCTCCACAATACAGTAGGATTTATTAATAGAAAATATGTCAATATGAGTTTGTCTTTGTACATGTTAGCAACATGTACAGTGAAACACATTTTTTTTTTCTCAGTCTATTTTGTTATAGTTCTTTTGTGTTATCTGAGACATAACCATTTATATTTTGGGCTTAAATATGTTATTTGTCAAAATGTACTTCCAGTGTTAATATACCTTTAAAATCATAGTTTATCTTTTAAATATTGAATTCATATTATTTTTTTCTTTCAAATCAATATTGCTCATGTTAGTGCAAATTTGTTATCTTGAGATAGGTTAACCATTCCTTCCAGACCATAAACAGCATTTAATAAAACAGTGAGATTTATATAGCTCTACACAGCTGATCAAGATTCTAATATGAAGCTTGTTAAAAAAAAAAAAAAATCCAACATTTTACAGTACATCAATTGCATTTTATACATTTTTTGGAACATCTTTTTTTCTCTATTTCTGTGTGTGATCTAGTACAAGAATGACGGGAACAGCAATAGGTAATGATACTTTCCTCAATATTAAAAAGAATGCATCATATATATCTTGCTCGGTATGGCATCAGTGTTGGATTTCCAAGTCTGGAAGAGCAGCCAGGCAACCCAACACCTTTTCAAAACTCAGTACAGCAAGAGTGAACATTATTAGTTGAAGCACTTGCCACTACAGAGGAATGGAAACAGAACAACATAAACCATAGACAAAAGGTATTTTGTGCCACTTATCAATCCAGAATCTCTCACTTGAGCAATAGTCAACATTTGACTCGAACTAATTTCTAAGAGGAGTGGAAAGGAGTCATTGTGGGCATTTTAGTATTTTAAGAATTCAAAAAAATCCAACTTACAGTAACGGTCTGTCCTAAGAACTTTAAGTAGAGTCAAAGATCCCTCAGGCCTGTTTGCAATCCTGCTCTTGGAGAACTGCACAAAGTCGATGGTTATCAGGCAGTCAAGAAGAACTTCAAGTTAATGGTGACATTCTTTAGTTAAAAAAAAGCTTTTATACTGAAAACGTGCTTTGTTCAAAAGAGCACTGCAAATGTCACTCGTCTTATTAAAATCAATGTAATAAATAAAATATAAACAACTTGTGTCCAAAACTATGAATAATATTTTTATCTACCTCACTATACATCTGGCCCACTGTGACCCTCCCACCCGCCTGTTTTTAAAGTTTTTAATTTTTTTTTTTTTGCATGCGATTTTTTTCCCCTGTTTACTACAAAGAGCAGATAAGGTTACATATCGTACACTGGGAAAAGCTGCCAAAAAGATGAAACTCTAGTCCTAGATGACTGATAAACTCGTTCTACCTCCCAGCCTGTGCCTGCCTGCACTACACGGCTCGCTGTCCCCAGAGCAGGTCAGCGAATCCCCCTGGCGCGCGCGTCCCGCAGGGCACCACGTGCTGGTGACACTGGCACGATGACTATCACAGAAATGTTGGTAACCTAAAATAATCTCTTCAATGGGAATTACTGAAGCAGTTTACAAGTAGCCCATTTGTGATGGGTCTTTGTCTGCGAAAACGGTGCACTGAAATGTTACTCTTTAGAGTCCCAAGAGCTAAGATAACTATCCCAGCTCTTCTGGCTTTCTAGCCTTTATTTTTTTATTTTTTTTTTATTTTTTAAAGAAAAAAATATTCTCTGTCCCCTACAGCTTTTATTCTTTAGGGCTTCTATTCTTAAAGGTTTTATTTTAGATGCATGGAAAAAGTCAGTGGTTTTCTATTTGAGGAATGTGTTTTGGGTGGGGTGGTTTTTTTGGTATGGTTCAAAGTAACTGATTGTCCTACTGGTTCCGGAGTTGGACCCTTCTGCAGCCTCAAGAGTCTGAGGACTCCAGACTTACATCCGTTGGGTCTTGGCTTTCCATTCCCCCAGGGAGATGGCAAGATCCAGCTCTGTCTTCCTTGAGCACTTGCTGGTTGGTGGCTGGAGAGTAACAGGATCAACTTCTTTCCTCAAGAGAAGATCAAGGAAATGGCACCCAAGGGTGAAGGAGTCAGTGAAAAATCCTGGAACCCCCTCAATTTTTCAGTCAGTAAGTGGCCTAAAAATTTTGAATTGCTACAGATGGTTAATAAAGCGAGTAAGAGAAAGCACATACTGGAGTTTCCACTGTTTAAAAAAACAGCAAAATCAAACAGAAATTAAAGCTTGAACAAGGAAAACACTGGATGAAAATAATCCTTATACCACACAAACGCACACACTCGAACACATACACACACAGAGATACTATGCATACGTGGACACACACGAGTAAGAATGTGTATTTGTATGACAGATTCTTGGAAATAGACATTCTTAGCAAATATGGATGACAGATCAATTGTAATTTATTTTCCTTTAACACTGTATCATCATAAAGAAAACTGGTATAAATGAAAAAAATCTATTATTTCAAATATCTACATCTAAAATTTTAGGCAGTGAAAAAGCACTTTGTTGACAAGGAGTGTGGAATGATGAATGTTAATTGTCAGAAACTGCTGAATGCCTCTTTTTTAGTTGCCACAAACAAATTCACATATCAGAACGAACAATACTGCTAAATATTCCTTTTTGTTTTTTGTTTTCATTTTTTTTTTGTTAAAACGCACCGGGGAAAAGAAAACAAAAAAACTGGAAATTCATACATCTTTCAAAATTTGAAATTGAAGCAATATTTAGAACCATAGATGAAGAAACACTGTGGCATTGGTGTAATATACACAATGCACTTTTTGTTTTGTTTTTTTTTTATCTGTAATGTACATCAAATACTTTACAACAATGCATTAACAAAAGGCAAGAAACATCTTGCTGTACAGAGGAAACCCCAAATGCAACTTGAAGCCTAGATTCACAATGAATGAGGATATTAAACAAAGTGTGAGAAGCTGTTCCCCATAAGTATGTACGCTGCTCAGTTACTTGTGCTTAACTCTTGACCCACATTCCCTGTCATGTTCTCCCTCCTTCCTTCAGCCACATTCAATACACGGCACTGAACTTGAGACTCTACAGGCCAACAATAAAGTTGCCCCACACTGTAATATATATATAATATATATATCTCTTTCTAATTACTCCCTTGTTTAGCTTTCATTTCTTTTAGCCTTCTAAAAAAAATCTTAGTTTTTCCATACTGGTTATCTGGGCCTTCCTACGGAACAGGCTTTAACAAACTAAATTTGCAGGAGAAAAGAATGTCTTGTGGTATGCATGCACATGCACAGTTCCTGGAGCTTGTGTGTCTGCCCAAGTCTCACACCCATGAGTCGGGAGAGGCTGGATAGTGGCTTGTTTCATAGTTAAGTTCACTATAGGGACGAGCAGCTGAATAGAAGTCGACGTAGTTGCCAGTTGACTTTAGTCCCAGGTGCATGTTGTATTCGCTTGCAGGTGGACGATGATGGACTTGGTCCTCAAAGAAGGACTCGTCATAGCTTCTGGTTGAGTTCTGAAACGGCTGATATGGTTCGTAATCTTTTCGGCTGGGCTCCTGTGGAACTGGCTGTGTTGAAACCTGAAATACCCACGACTTGTTAGATATGCCTCATAGTGGGCAACAACATGGAAGAAAGAGTAATTCTCTTGGTTTTGTGCTCATCATGCTGGGAATACAAAGGCATGCATTATCCTAACATCTGCCCTAAGTATTGCTTGGCAGTGAATTAATTCCACAGCTTTGCCTTGCTACTCCAAATCACTTTGTTACATTTTTATTTATTATTTAATATTATTGCTGCTAACAGATGTCTGTTTATGTGAAAAGTAGTTAAAAATCTGGATCTAAACAGTGTGCCTTGCAATTATTTTTGTAAGTATAACCCATATCTAACTTTCTGACTATTTTGCAGATGTATATTCCCAACACTGGTGCCCAATGCTCAGCCTTGAAGAATGAGAATGGAAGTGATACACGCTCCAAAGATGCTGAGCCTTTTGACACGAGTGACATTTAGAATAAGAACCAAGCATGGGCTTCAGGCACTGCCATGAGAGCATTTCAAGTGCCATGAAATGTGTCCTTCACCTGCTGTTAAACTGAACCATTTTCTTACCACCTCTGTGACACCTCCTGATAGCATCTTGCCAGGATGCCACGTATTCAGCAAGCTGCCTTGAAGCCCTCATAGTTACGATGTGCAGAAGAAAATCTCAGAGAGTCCCCTCACCCAAGTTCCCTGTAAAGCTACTTTCATACACCCCAAGAGAATATCTGTTCCTACCATGGGGATTTTTAATTAAGAAATGCATAAACATTTGCTAAGTATCTTTGTAGGAAAAATACCTTTTTTTCCCTCTATGATGTCTCCATTAAAATTGGATTTTATTTTATTTTATTTTATTTTATTTTATTTTATTTTATTTTATTTTATTTTATTTTATTGACCCCCAAAAGCATAGAGCAGTCCCACTGCTCTGCCCTAAACCATTTGATATTCTTTGAAGCATGGCTGTATAGACTCCTGTGCAGAGTGAGAAAGGTTGTGTGTGTCCATCATGGTTAACAATCCCACAAGTGGTGCTGCAACACCAGGTTCAATGTTAGAACAGCAACAGGGAGCATATTTGCACTAGGTTTTATTTCTAGTATCGCTATTCATGTTCACAGGACCTTGAACCGCTCACTTCACATATTTAAACACATTTAATTTTTGACAAATGGGGAAAATGCTAAACAAAGCAATCTATTTAGAAGCCAAAAAGTTAGAGTTGATCATTGTTCTTTATTTTTGGTGAGCGGGAAACACAGGGGCCTGAATTAGTATTTGGGGTTCTTTTTAGGATTCATTATTCAAATGTTATTTCTGGTATATTAATCAAAACCCAGATATTTCATTGAGAAAGTAAATAGGTAGAAAATGAATATTATTTTTGTTTTATGGGGTTTCTACTTTATTTTTTGCCCCCAAAATCAAATTAGTTGATTCATGACCACAGTTGGAGTGCACCAGCTGTTGGAGCACTTCAGTGGAGTACTTATTTTCTCTGAGTACTGTGTTAATTGGAAGGACTTTATCTCTTTCAGTGCACAAAAAGCAGAAACACTGTCATGCACTGAAGTGGCTCACACAAAGAAAACATATGGTACACCATAGGAAATGCTAATTAAAGAGCGTAATCGGCAATAGAAAATGGAGATGAAAAACACTGCAAACTGTTCACCTACAGTTGGTGGAGTGAAAATGAAATACCAGAATTAAAAATTTTCAAAAAAATATGTTAAAAATCTTTTTTATTTATGAGTTCTACCCAGTACAGATTTACCTGTCTGATACTAGTAACCATTTAAAGTGTTTCCTTTGAAGATTTTTGGCTTAATTTTTCTATTTTAAATAATGCTACAATTTTTGAAACTCATAGGGAGGCTATGAAAATATTAATGGGTTGCGATACTTAAGTGTAAAGTATCATTACACGTAATGACAAGAAAAGTTCTTGATCCTAAAAAAAAATCTACTTCCTAAGGGGCTGTGAAGATAGTATTTTGAAGTCACCTGAACGTCATACATGTCAATATTATAACAGCCTGCTTTTTTTGTGTGTTTTATTTTTTTAATCTTGTGTGGGAATATTTAGTTTGCCGATTAAATTTCTGGAATGTCTATCTTATTCATCTTATTCATTAGAGCTTTATACTGACTGGTCTTCAAGGACAGTGGTGCCAACCACTTCAGTAGCACTGAATATTTTATGAGGGATAAACCATAATGAGATGTGGATGGTTTTTACCAATTCATTGGCATGAGGCTCCATGAAAAAGGTTCCCTTTACTAGCAGATACAGTGGAAGTGGCCATTCCACTGCCCAACTTCCATAGCTTGAGTCATACCCATTTGGACATTTAGGTCCTGAGCCCCTCTTTTTTCAGTAGCAGTGACAGGCCTAAATGCCTTAGCTCATGTTTGTGGATGTACTGTTCAAGGTAATAACCTATTGCAGAGTTTTGAAACTTGGACAGAAATCATCCATTAGCATAAAAGGCTGTAACTTGGTTGAAACCAAGTTCTGTGACATTTTTCTTTGTTTCCGTTTAAAATGCTAATCCATCCTTACCTGGTTATGTTTGATGTCTTCAGCAGGTGCACCATATGAATTCCTGTACAAAGTTGAGATTCCAGTGTTTTGAGCTGAAGAGACAAAAAGGAAGGTAAAAGCAGATTTACCAAATGTATCTCTTTGTCTTTAGGAGTGATTCCTAAGGCTTCTTTAAATACTAAGGCGGTTACCAACATGAAGACACCTTTGAAAGTGCCTGCAGACTTCTCTTTTCTCCTCCTCCCACCAAATAGTCTTAAATTTCTCCTTCTTGGTTTACACGGTATACGTCATACATGTATACCTGTCTAATGGTGCTAATGGTAATAGGTACTATTGGTTGTACCACTTCTCACATAAATCAACAGAATAATTTCATATACAGCTACCACTGAGCAACATACTTTGGGCTATATATAAGATTTTATGGCATACATACACTAAGCAGAAATACCGAGTTTAAGAAGCAGAAACTTGGCATATTGTTCATTCCACTTTGGTTGGATGTTGTTACACAGAATTCTGTAGTGTTTATTACAGAGTGCCTTTGCTGGGTGGTGAAATATTGATGTGAAAAGTCATTAAATATAACTGAAAGATGAGTTACATAAAAAGTAGCATGTAGTTATACTGAAGAGATCTGGACGAGATAGTCTCCCACCTGCAAATGGTTGTCACATTTTCCTCAGATGGCCTACTGATAAAATAGACTAATAAAACTGAATTATGAATTTTCAAATTTGAAAAACAAGTCCTTCAGAAACAAGGAAATGCATTTCACAGAAATTTATTTTTTTCTCCATGAGGACACACATACAAGGATTTCTCCACAAGGCTGATCCTAAAGTGATCACTCCGCTGCTCACTTTGATGTGGTTATCTAGCTAAAGTGTAGTTTGCCCATGGAAGTAGAAACACTGTATGCGCTGCTCATACTTGCAAGAATATGAGGGATGTATTTTGCGTAGCTGCTGTGCATTTTCCTTACTGGACACAAGTTATTAACTCTGCAGATGTCAGAGCCAATGCTTTTTGGCTGTCATTATTCTCATTATAAAAGCACGTGCTTCCAAGCAATCTTTTGAACTTTTGAGTAGTTTGTGATGATTAATATATCAGAAACATCACTGGAAGGAAAAAAGTCACTTATGCAGCTTCATCCACAGGTTCTGTGAAATGGCCCAAGAACTGGAGGTACCAAGAGTTCCTTTTAGTACCTTCACAGCCAAGCACCTTTGAGCATGACTAAGCAACAGAGATGAAAGCTGGACATGGGAACCACGGTAATCACATCATTATGAAGTTACTGAAGGAGAGGTAACCATTCTTTCCTTCTTGGAGTGCCTGCTAGCATGGATCTCAGCAAGTACAACTTGCCTTCATGCGTCTTCCTTCAGCCATTGCACCTTCTATTGACAAGGAATGCCAAGGTCTTCAGTCAAGGTTGATGGAGTTTTCCAATTTTGATCTTCACACCTGCCACAGGAACCAGGCTGAGGACAATTTTTGACAAATGTTGGTGCACTGTTCCATGTTGTTCTTTTACAAATCTCAGAGAGTACACTTAAAGATCTCCGAAGACAACAGTGTAAAGATCTCCAACTGAAAGAGGATAAAGACAAGGTTTATGTGGTGGATCATGAGCTGTATCAGCTGGAGGAAGAAATACAGCAGCACTCTGGAGGTATCCAAGGAATGCGGTAGGGTTCTTTCTTTGAACATGGGAGGAAAATGATCTCTAGTAGCAGAAGATGGTTGGTTCTTCCCAATGGCAGGCACTCTTAGTTCTGTTGGGTGCCAGCTGGAAGTCATGGGTGCCTGAGCACATTGTCATTGGCCATAGATGATAATGCAGAAGACTCTGCGGAGGGTTTCTCTGTTCAGGCTACAATTTATTGCCAAACTCTAGTGACATGCAAGGCTTGATTGTCTGTTTGTTTATTTATTTATTTTTATGAGTTCCACCAGGACTCACTGCGGTAGAGTTTTCATTTTCCTCCTGGATGCCAGTCTTTCTTACGAGATGATGCTACAACAGCACTGCCATTCATGGTGCTTCTGCTGCTGGTGAGGCTCTCAGTGGTGTCAAAGCCAGATCTTTCCTTGATACTATTTTATAATACTAGTTTTCTGAGATTTTTGCTCACCACACAAAGCACTAGAAGAAGCTGCTTACACAGATCCTTCTTCACAAGAGCTAAAGATTCAGAGATGGTGTTTCAGGTCCCCACTTTGTGATGTGCAACTTGAACAAAATGAAGGTGACAGTCAGTGTTTTCAATGCGTTGGCCTCTAACAAACAGGGGAATAACTTCCTGAAATTATTATTTTGGATGTATATGAATCTCAAAATAAGCAGGGCTTCAAGCTTCGTGCATGTGAGTTTTAAATCAGGCATGAATGAAAGTATTCAGACCAAACAGCACAATACTTTTCACGGATATTTAAAATCAATAATAAGAAGAGGGATCTGAGGTGCAACACCTGAAGACTTTGTGAAGCAGACCGGACACAAGCTAAGTTGTATGTTTTTCCCAGAGGCAAACACACCAATGCTCTTCCCAGACGCAAACACACCACTTCCTACTTACTTAAAAATGCAAACAAACAGAAGTAACTTTTTCAACAAAAGCACTGACCCATCAAACACATAGAAAGACTGCCCACGAGTTCTCAAACGAGGAATCTTGGCCTAGACAAGCTGAGAGGGTGATGCAATTCCCCTCTCTTGAGTACATGTAAGTAAAGCAATGCACGCAGCCCTGCTCCAACACCTGCGTCTGGGCATGAGGCATTCTTGGGAATTGCTGAACTCTGCAGTGCTTCTGGTCTCCAAAGGGAGAGGATAAAGGAAGAGAGGAGACAGGCCAGATGAATGGGCAGATGTGTGGTTGTCTGTGGAACTGTCTGCTCCTTGCCCTTACATTGTTGGTTCCATCATGGTAAAATTATCAAAGGGACAGAAAGGCAGGGCAGTGGAATTGTTGTTGTTGTTGTTATTTTTTTAAACACAGTAAGAGAAGGAATGGAGTGCACTGTCTGCAAGAGCTGCAGACCTCCCAGCAGCCACACTGTATTACAGAAATATAAGAATTGAAGCAGCACATGAAATGATCCCAAAGCTGAGGACTGAGTGTATGTATGTGTGTATTTCATGTAGTTTTTACACATAAGTACAAGATAACGCTGAAGAGGTAAAATTGAAAAGGTGCTCAAATGAGCACCTATCATAACAAAATTACAGGATTTCATGGTTGCATGATATCAAGACAATTTATATAAAATGACCTTATTTTTCCCCCTTTGTTTTCAGGATGATGCTGGTTGAAAGAGCACCAAATAATTTCTCACAGCAGTCTTTGCAGAGCTTACTGCAGCCTTGAATATTATGTCATGTAATGGTTAATGTCACAAAGATCTCACTGGTCTAAATCCTCTCACACACCATAGCCACTTGGGTTTAAAATTCAAGTTTCAGCTCCTAGAAGTGCTCATTCTTAATACATACAACAGTCATTTTGAAACACTAAGGTGCAAACACAGACTGATATTAAGAAAGAAAAGACAAACCAGACAGATACAGTCATTCTCACGTACATGTCCTGCCTCTTCTGCTGTAATAAACAGTGGGACTTCTTTTCTAAAATTTGGTTCAAGACAAGGAAAGGGAAATACTTTTGTACTTCAGAACCATAAGCTAAGAGTCACTACTCCCTATGTTAGCATTTCCAGCTTCTTACATGGTGAAAGATGAAGGGCAGAGGAAAAGATTACGGCTTCTTAAAGTAATGGTAAGTTAAGTAGCTAGAGCACTGGTAGCTTTCGTTGATTTGCTTTGCTCAGAGTGTGCAGGAACTTACAAGAATGTTTAGATAGGGGAAGTGTAGATGATTAATTATGACTACTGTTGACCAAAAGAAAATCATCAGAAGGTGCTACTGCTACAAGACATACAGACTGTGGTGTGTGTATGGGAACTCGAAAAGCAAAGAAACTTTAGAGTAGGAATCCCATGGTAGCACACATCAAGCTTATCTTGCCTGGTCTGAAGGAAAACACCGTGGCATAAATAACACTATCACATTCATTGATAGTTCTTGTGCTTTTTAAAAAAATGTAATAGGTTTTGTCTTAAAAATATACTTCGGGTGATAAAATTTTATTATTGGTTATTATTTTCTGGTGTGAAGATGGATTGTAAATGTAGAAGGCATCATAAACCTGTGAAGTGAAGAGGGCAAAGAGAACTTTGATATTGTTCCTCTATTTCTTAGCCATCCTTGTGAAATCAATATAAGTTATCATTTTCAGCCAAACTTCATACAGTCTCCATTTCCCCCAAAGGCTTCCTGACAGCTCCCCACAATGGCAAGAAGCCAACATTTCTACTTTGAAAATCCATCAAAACTCCCCTCATTTCAGCTGCAGCCACCAGGTCATAACATTTTTGATCTATAAACGGAGAAGAGCTTTGGAGACGAGCATGGAGACAGCTGTAAATAAATGGGGACTACAGCTATAGCTCCACGTTCTGTGTAAGTCCATAAGTCAAAGAAAGCCTTCTGTGATACATCAGCTTGGCACAAAATACAAGAGCAGCTTAAAATACTTACACGCCAGGTGGAACTTGAAAAAACATTTATCTATGTCCCATGGGGTCTGTGGCTATATTAGCTGCAATGCATTACTTGATTCACAAAATGAGATACAGGCAGTACAATCAACTTGTTACACAAATTTATATTAGATCACTTGGGTCTAGCAGAAATCACAGTTAAAATCACAAATACTGAATTTTATATTGTTCTTTAATGAAATATTGGTTATTTGACTACAGTTATGCTATTACAAATTACACATTGAATGTTGATTAGCAAGACTCTTTCTCTCTTCCTAACAGCAGTTTTCTTTTGTTCTTAAAATGGTGCTTAGTTTGAGCTTAGGGCTTGGTGATCTGGAAGAGAGAGAATAATATGTTAATTCCATATTAATCTGTACAATGACTATGCAAGATAGTGAAGTAATATAAAAGTTATCAAATTGACATTTTGATTTCTCTCACTGAGATCAGTAGCTGGAAACTGGTCAATAGCTGAGCATGATGCTGAGAGCCTCCTTGTTAAGAGCCCACTCAAAAGATTAGTAATACAAAAGATAAAACAGAATCAAAACAGGATGCAAAAATCACAGCAGAGCAAAGGCTGCTGGTGAAATACAAGCCTTGTGCTCCTCAAATTAGCTAGCAGGAGAACGTATGTAAGTGACACAGGAATGGGAGAGCAAAAATACTACAGTAAAAGGCAGAATTAAAAGGGATAGGAAAAAAAAAAACCACATGATTTTTCTTTGTGTGGAGAGAGACAAGAAGGAAGATGTCACTATCTGTAAGGAATCCACAGAAATACCCCTTTTTTTTTTTGTCTCTGTGTGTGTGTGTGATCCTTCTCATGTAATCTGCTTGTTTAAATTTGCAGATACAGCTAGAGGAAGCACTCTATGCTTTCTGCCTTTTCAGCCTGCTGCTCTTACTCCCGGGAGGCCCTCCTCCCGGATACTCAAAGTTGGGAAAAAATGCAGTCCTGCCCTTCACAGTCATGTACGTCATGACCTTGGAAGTGTTTTAGAGAACCATGCTGTGTGGTGAATATCAAACACTGCAAATATTACAGATAATACATTAAGTACAGTACCTTGACAGAACAAATGGCTTCCTGTTTCCTCTAATCGCACCCCGTATCCTGCAGATGCCACTCGGGACACTCATCACTTTCGTGGTCTCCAAATGCTCTTGATCGTCATTCCTCTTCTTCAGATTCCCACTTCCATGCCAATTAGCACTCTGTATTGCATTCCACCTATGTTCAAATGCTGCCCTTTGGATTTCAATTGCAAAATAGCGTACAGCACAATAAATGCTGTATGAGTCATGTCATCTCCTGAGTAGGGCCTTGAATGCAGACACTGTGGTATGGATGGCTTGACGCTGATGCCAGTGGCATCCCTAATGAGGTGGGGAACAAAAAGACAATCCTCTCTGGCAAACCCAGCCGGCAGGAGGGCTCCTTGCTGTGATTTGTTACTTGCACTGAGGTAGCACTTGGAAGAGAAGGCACCGTGGTGCTCGGCACTGCATAAACACAACCAAACGCGCACCACAGGTTGCACAAGCCTGTGCAACAGTGATGGAGACCAACGCATGCTTTATGAAAGAATTAATGAAGAGGAGCATTATTAGGCAAAGCACTCAAGAATTCGTAATTACTGGCATTCTAATGGATAGGACGCAGAAGCCTTCATGAAACCTGCAATAGGTGCCATAGCAGGCGCAGAGAAAATCACTGCATTTCAATCAACCTGGAGGAAAAAAAAAGTTATCAAGGAAACACTGTACAAACTGCTATTGATTGTCCTAGGAATTGCTGAAACATGCAAAATATATTAACTGGTCCTAGAAAGCCGTGCCCTGCAAAAGACAAATGAGAGGGTCTGCTGCACATGCTTGACTGATGTCATGCCTACAGACACAAAGCTAGTTAGCACAAGGAGCATTTACCCACCTCTGTGAAAAAGGCATCTGACTTCTAATTTAAAAACAGTAAAACCTGCTTTTAGAGCTTTTTCTCAGTGGAGAGACATGGTCTTCACAAAAGACTTCATACAGCCCTGTGCTTACGAAGGTCAGTATTGCTTGGGCTTCCTGAGAACACCAAAACTTTGCAAGCAGCCAAAGCAGACTGACTCTTTTCTCTGCTACTGTATGCTCTGCCAAGCCTACAAAATGTGTCTATGACAGCTGATTTTCACACATGCTGCATAAGAATAATCTTACCTGTCATGGTGTCTTTCCTAGAAGTGTGTTCTCCCTTGGTTCCATGGTAAGTCACATTTGTTCCAGTTGATTCATAGTCTGTTTTTCTTTCTTTTAGGCTGATCATTTCCCGAGGTGAGGCAGGGGCACTTGCTAGATCATAAAAATGGATTTATTTTTCTCCCCACATATCACTGAATGTAAAGCTTAGCTCTAGAGTAAACATTTTAATAAAGTTTGCATTTGTTAGCATAATAATGTGAGCATATTAATGTTCAGCTGTTTGAAGAAACACTACCACAGGATGGAAGAGAAAATGCTGTAATTTCAAATACAGAACAAACGTATTCACTGGGTAACCAACTCCAAACATCATTTTTTCTCAGTTTTTTTTTTTAATTATTTACATGCAACACCTATTCTGTTTCATTATGAAACAGAATAGTAACTGCTTTCTTCCTTTAGTTTATTAATTTCTTTAACTTGTTATTACTTTCATACCGGCACTTCCATATTTTTCTCAAAATGGTCAATTTATTTCTGTGGAAAAGACCTTTAAATGCCAAGTGAGTAGAAAAATGCTTACAAATGGTCGCCTTTTCTCTGCTGAAATAAACAAACCAAGAAAAAGGTTCCCATAAGGGAGAAGGAAAGAAAATAAAGGGTTTTTTCATAGAAAATATGTAAGAATGAATACCTAATACCTAAAGGGAACTTAATAATTTATTTCTTTAACTATCTATAGATGAACAGGTATCTAAAGGTGGTGAGAACTGCAAGAAGAAAGAAGAGGGGTGATGGAACAGGGGGAAGAGTTGCCCTGCACTGTGGTTCCATAACTGACTCTTGATATCTAGGTGCAGGTAAGAAAAGACTCTCTGGAACTAGTTGTATGAGTAAAAGGGGGAGAAAGTTCAAGATGACCAGGAGGAGAACTGGTTTTGTATTTCTTTGCCATAGCATCATAGGATCATTACGGTTGGAAAAGACCTTCAAGATCAAGTCCAACCATAAAGCCATCCCCACCCTGCCTGCTAAACCATGTCCCTAAGTGCCTCATCTGCAAGTGTCTTGAGTACCGCCAGGGACAGTGACTCCACCACTTCCCTGGGCAGCCTGTTCCAGTGCTTCACCACTCTTCCCATGCAGAATTTTCTCCTAATATCCAACCTGAACCTCCCCTGGGGCAACATGCACTGAAAAAGGTGTCCAACCACTGGCACTGCCCATGAAGACCTACCAGTCATGATTCTTAGGGCAAAAGGGGACAGACAAGCAGAGGAAAATTGGATTTCAAGTAAACTGACTTCAAAAGACTTAGGTGTTGGAAGACACACTTTCCCTGCTGGGATAACAAAGTTAATTAAAAATGGACTTCATGAGAGATTTTTCAGTGTCTTTAAGGAACAGTTACTAAGGACACAAGCATAGGGCATAGAGGCAGCGGAGAGGAAGTGCAGAGACCAGCTTGGTTCAATCATGACAATTGCATAACTCCAAACTTGAGGAGTCCCACCAAAATGTGAAATAGATCAGGGAATACCTAGGCTGTATATACAAGAATACTATGTGTACTTAGTGATAAAATCAAGGGCATGTAGGTCAAGGACACTAGCAAGAGACATATAGGTCTATCTGTCCTAACTTCAGCATATAAATTAAATGTTAATTGGGGCTACTCACTCAGGCCTCCTTTATATACAGAAAGAGGTACTTCCAGATGATCATTTGTCTAACAAGTTAAATGTCTACTAAGTACTGAGTTAAATGTCTAAGGTTATTTAATTAACCTTAATTGCCCTCTAGACCTTTCTTCCTCTATTGCCTAGAGGGAGTGTGGAGTTATCCAACTCAGACTCGGATAGTTAAAGTTAGATAAATTTCATTCAAAGGGTTAAAAACTCTTTAAATACAGTAACAATAATAAGAGCAAAGTTCTTGAACTTTATGAACATCATGAACTAGAAGAATTAATAATAAAATGTCTCTGAAGACTTAATACCTGTTTTGTTTCATCCTTCATTAAAATTACATAAGTTATCAGGTGGATAAAACAATTAACAGCAATGATTTTGCTCTCAGGCAAGAAGAGAGTATTTGTGGGCAAGATAACTTGAAATCCATTCTTCTACTTAAAGATCTTCCTAAGTAATTTCAGACCGGACAGTTTTTGCTAATTTTGAAAATCCAGAAAATTGGCAAAAGGCAAATATTTAAAGCATTTTCAAAAAGAAAGGTTCAGAGAATTATGGTCCTATTACTTGATAACATAGCCCTGATAATTTTACTGAATAGCTGAGCAATTTTGCCCCCTCATGCAGATATACAACTACCTCTGAAACAAGCATGGACACATCCAAGTCTTTTTTTCCATTAGGTGATGTAATAGGTTTAGTAATCTAGCTAATCACCGTGTTCAATCTAGATTGGTGAACATGAACAAAAGCTGGGCCAGAGGACAGAGCACAAGGTGAGGGCAGAGCCACACTTCCCAGTGGATGCAGAGAAGTACGTATAAAATAGTGAACTAAAGCACTCATGCTTACGTCTACACTCTCCCATGCCTCCACTCAGGTATTGGATACGTTAAGAGGACTCTCCAAGGTAAGAATTAATGCTGAAAATGCATTTCAGTAAAGGTTTGGGGAAATATCTAATTATTACCTTTGCATTTGCAACACTGTTACTGAGCTCTCTTTCCATCATAGGGTTTGGTAATTGCTCAATGCATCAGCATTTCCTTTCCCCAAGGTTAGCTGCTGTGCTGTCATTATAGCACTACTCTAGCTATGAACAACAGCACTTTCACATCTCTCCAAACACGAGCTGCCTTTCCATTTTCACACTGCTTTATATTGCACATGAAGTTTTAAGAACAGGACTTTGCTTCCCGGTATCATTTCCAAGCACTCCCAGAGTCAGTGGTAATAAGAACGCTAGCATTGGTATTGATCTATTGATTGATCTATTTTATGCCTTTGCGGAAAGGAAAGGAAAGGAAAGGAAAGGAAAGGAAAGGAAAGGAAAGGAAAGGAAAGGAAAGGAAAGGAAAGGAAAGGAAAGGAAAGGAAAGGAAA